AAAACTTTTTTTTGCACCAGGCAGAGTGGTGCATGTCTTTAATCCCAGCACTCAGGAGGCAGAGGCAGTTGGATCTCTGTGAGTTCAAGGTCAGCCTGGTCTACATAGTGAATTCCAGGCCAGCTGGGGCTACAGGGAGACTCAGTCTCAAAAAGACCAAAATTTTTTTTTGCTTAATGCAGTTCATAGAGTAGTCTACCACAACCATACTTTATGTCTTAAATGTGTGTTAGCAGCAGAGAGAAGCAGAAGATACATAGCAAAATATTATCAATTATATATTTACAGCATCCCCAGAAATCAACTAAGGAAACTTACATAAAGCTAGACTTACTGACTCAGGATATTTTTCAAGGAAGAGGTTCTTCTTCATTCCCTCCATGGATTGTAAGCTGTTTATTATCTATCCTGATGTTTTATTTAAAGTAGTTAAATAAATCCTGGTATTGACTATACATTTCCATTATTCTTTATTGGTCACTTTTGTCATTCTTGTGACAAAATAGAGCATCCCATTAGCTGTTTATATTATAGAATCTTTTTATCACAAGATAAATAATAATAACCTTTGTTTCAAATAGTTTATATACATTTGTCCAGGTGAGTATTTTCTTCTGTTGGGTCTTGCATTGGAAACAGAGTTGACAAGAGACAGAACACTGGATTTTAAGAAGTCACCTTCTGATATTTCTAAACTTTTCTGTACATTCAGTTAGCTTGTGTAATAAGTACTCTCCCCTATAAAGAGACATAGCTGTAGGACAATATAATACTCTCACACATATTTCCCATTTGAGGCCACTATCCTCCAGTTCATATGAATCCCAGGAATAAATATTGACCCTCATGTGTCAGGAAAGTCAGTCAACTGCTAAAGATTAGATCAGGCTGGCCTTGAACTCACAGACATCCACCTGCCTCTGCCTCCTGAATGCTTGGATTAAAGGGGTGCACCACCGTGCCTGGAAAAGATGGTTTTCTAATCTGGCTTTGTTTTGGGCTGAATCTTAATATTCTCTAAAATATTCTTTTTGATCTTTTTCTTTTAATTATAATTTTCAGCCCATATTACATTTTTCAAGTTAGATAAGAGGCAAGGCTGGTAGTTCTCAGGGTGAATAGCTTTAAAGAGAGATATCAGTCAGTCTGCCTGTATTAGAAAAACAGTATTATAATTTACTAAATTACCCATAATGCAGAGAATAAGGAACACAGGAAATAATGACACCTAAAAGCACTTGGAAAAAGACAATGTTAGAATGTTCTCTCTTTTTACTCTGTCTATGACATTGTAACTAGAAAGTGAAAAGCAGAGGTGCCCAGGGAATGATGGGGCAGGAACAAAAGCATGGAGCAATGGAGTCTGAGAGAGGGAATACTCTATGTCAGAGAAAAAAAGGCTTAGAGAAATCCAAAATAATCTCCTTTTAAAACCAGTAAAAATTATGTAAAACTATGCAAAAATTTAAAATAGTCACTTTTGGGAACCAGTAAATATACCATAACAGAAGTCAAATCCCCAAATATTCCTCTTTAGAAACAGGTCAAAATGAAACCAAAATTCAAAAACCCCACTGGAGAGGTCTGTAATTACCTCCTTAGTATGGCATATAATTTATGTTATCGCATGGCAATAGAGACTGTCAGACTCTCTGGGTTTTCAATTTCTTTTTAAAAAATATTTTATTATTTTTATTTTATGTGTATGAGTGTTTGCCTGCATGTAAGTAAGTGCACCCATGTCATACAATGCCCGCGGAAGACAGAGAGGCTGTTGGATCCCCTGGAACTGGAGTTACAGACAGTTGTTAGCTGCCATGTGGGTGCTGGGATTCAAACCTGGGTCTTCCACAAGAACAGTCAGTGTTCTTAACCATTAAGCCTTCTCTCCAGCCCATGGGTTTTCTATTTCTATGATCCCTTCAAGAGTCCAAGAAAGTTAAAACCAAAAAGGAAAAACATCACAAGAAGATTGGGAAACATGAATAAATGCCTATAGTCCAGGGAATTCCTATGGCAGTAAGTTCCCATAGAACGGAGTAGTACTGGTAAGATTCTGAGTGTCACCGGTTTGACTTATGGCACATGGTTAGATTAGTCAAGATGGTGGCAAAGTCATAAGTTCATCACCATTTCAAGATCTCATTAACCAAGACAGTAGCCAAGTCATGTAGGTGTCCCCAAGTTGATGATGCCATCAACCAAGATGGTGAGCAGACCATGTCATTGCCTCCATCTTGATGAGGTCACCAGCCAAGATGGCCACAAAGCCACATGGCTCTCATGCCTATGGTGATCTTGACTCCAAGATAAAAATGTGCTCATTGCCAACCAGAACTTGAGTTGCATGGGATCCACATATCTCACAGATTAAGTTAAATGCACCCACTTAAGTTAGGATGGTAGCAGGAGAAACTACCCTCATGTTGGTAGGCTCTGAATAGGAAAGTAAAAGAAAGAATGCATGGTCTCAAACCACAGGAAGACTTTCATGTTTCTTATAATGAGCTCTAATTCCAATGTCATCTGGATCTCCTTTTCATGTTGCCAGGTGTGCTTTCCCCCCTGCATCTTTCCCTGGCTTCTGGCTCTCAGTCCAAGACACAAACTGTAACTGGAAAAGAAGCTCATGAAGGAAGCAGAAGAAATGGGTAAGTGGGCCTACATATATGACCTTGACTCCATTTTGTTTTACCCAAGAATGAGATAGGCTGAGATCAGACAAGATCTGTGGCCCTCCTAATTGACTGGATGTCAAGTCCCTTAGAAAACAATTTGTTAACAATAGTCAACCCTGCTTTATAACTTTAGCAGGCTTCTGTGGAAGTTCTACTCATTTAGAAAAGTAACTGCCTAGGGACCATATGATTGCAGGTGGTATCAGACCTAACCATATCAAGTCACTCTTTTCCAACTTTTATCTTTTGTAATGTTTTATATGACCAACTGTTGGTCACAAAATGTACTTTAAGCATTTCCTGGCCAAGGGAACCCTCTAGGTTTAATCCAGAATGTTTTCTCATCTGGTCTTTTTAGTCTATGAAAAATAAAGAATTTTGGTAAACCTTCATCTCTTCCTAGTTGAATATTAAGTCTTACTGATATTTTGTGATTGAGGAACCAATACTTTCATAGTCAGAACTCTCAGCTCCTGCATATGTTCCCCATGGACCTCATTAATGTTGTCCCACCTGGGGTCCCGGTTGGGGTATTTAACCTCTGGTGGCAGGGCCCCTCTGACCTGCTGGATGTTTTCCCAAATTAACTGTGTAGTCCCCCTGATCATCATCCACCCTTCTCCCCAGAACACAATGTTCAGAATAGACATTAATTCAGCCCAGGTATAGAACTGGGATCCTAAGAATCGTCTGCTACACAAAAGAAGTACTCTAATAAGAATTTGCTTCTCTTTTCACATTTCTGACCTAATCCAATTCCCCCTACTTTGATGGAAAACATAGTCTGGGGCTTCTCCTGGGGAGTTGGAGGGAAGTGCAGATTTTGGAGGTCTCTTTTGCATTGTTCAAAACATTTTTTTCCTTAGCTGGGGCAGGAAGGTATATATGAAAAATAGTGGGAAAGCCTCTGGGCCAGACAGAGGTGTTAGTTTCTCCACTATGTGAATCTGTTTTTCTTTCTTACTTTCCTTTTTTTCCTTTTTCCTAAAGCTCAGTTTGACATAATTATTTCCTGTTATAGTCCCTTAGAAGCTCAGTCCCTCTTCCCTAAGGAAGAGCTTTTTTCTGTATAAGTGAATGTAACTCTGCCAGGCAGATTTTACTTTTGCAAAAGGGTACTGATGTGTGGTCAGTCAGATCCAGCAAGCACACAAGAATTTGAAGCTTGCTAAGTTTTTATCCTTAAGTCAAGAGTCAATGCATTCCAACTTTTCTTAAATGAAATTTTTACAGAGTATGGAGAGATTAAAAGTTTAGAATTCCTTGACATAATACAAGTTTTACAGGGTTTGAAAAAAAGATATTTAATATTTCTTGAGAATTTTTAGAAAAAAAATTTGTGTATGAGTGTATTGCTTGCATGTACCCATGTTGTGCAATGCCTGTGAAGGTCAGAAGAGGGCATTAGATCCCCTAAAACTGGAGTTAGCTGCCACATGGATACTGGCAAATGTACTCAGGTCCTCTGTAAGAGTAGCCAATGCTCTTAACCACTGAGCCACCTCTCCAGCCCCATATTTAGTTTCTTACGTATGTATGAGAAGGCCAGAATGAAGCAAATTGTCTTTAAGATAACGAAACGACTAACAAAAAAACCTAAATAGTTCTGCCTCATTTCTTGTTGTTGGACATTTCCAAATCTAGGGAATTGATTTCCATTTCAATGGTCAGGCTCATTCCTCTAAACAACAGAGATGTAAATACTGAAAACTGAAGGAAATTGCCAATCATTTGAGATTGTGAATGACATATATTTCTATACAGAAAAAGAAGCTGACATAGCTGTTAGAAATAAATCCACTCCAGTTTAAGTTTAGCCTTTGGAAGAAAAGATAGGTCATTCATTTATTTTTCCCACAGTAGCCTTATGTTCAGGTTAAATGCCAAGGTTGATAGGAACTGTTTTCTCTTGAGGGAAGATCTCCTTAATAGTACTGTCCAATCGGAGGCACTGCTGTGACAGGCACCATGTCAGCGAACAGGGGTTGGGACTTCCGTTCTGCAGCCATTGCTGTCTGCCATCCTGGAATTGTGTCTGGAGTTTCAAGATCCTGTGTACATAACTCCATCACCCCGTGACCTGCTGCAGCCAGAGCCCCATGGTAATGCTTGTCTGGACTCCTGACTGGAGGTCCCCAGGAGCCCTCTGGGCCTGCTCACAGCCCTCTGCTTCCCTGGGTGGCATGGCTACCAGCTGCCCAAGACCAAAATTTTCCTGGGCCCTGCTCCCAGGCCAGTCCAGCTCCCAAATTCTTGAGGACAACATCTTTCCTGGAGGGATCCAGACCTTAGGAGAAAACCTGAGAGCATCTGATGCTCATATGACTTGGGCCTCTGTGGGAACTCCTGAAGATGAAAGCAATTTGGCCACTCCAATATAAAATCAAGAGAGAACTGGAAGCCTAGATCAACCAGCCTAGAGATAATGCAGGACATGGAACTCAAAAGAACAATTATAAGCATGATAACAGAATTCAGTGAATTTAAAAAACACACACAGAAATCAAAGAACTGAAGGAAGACAGGGATAAACTTCTGAATGAATTCAGAAAAGA